AGTGCCCTAAGCCCTTAAGGAAAAGATATGCAGTTGTTTCTCTTAATTTTTAATTGAAACAAAGGTGAGAAACTCAACATTCTAACCTAGCTAATTCTAGAAAATCACTTTGACCTTCTATTAGCTAAGTTTTCTTCTTGGTATATATAATAATACTAGAATTATGATTCCCAAAATTCCATCTTTCTTCTTCTTGCTCAATTTTTATTGCACTTTCCCAACAACTAAGCAGACCATATCAACATGAAGAAACTACATAGTCCAAATCAGCACATGAATCAAATCATAAATACCTAAATTAATCAAATTTAGACCTTCTTTCAAAACCAATCTTCAACAGAGGACACCATAAAATTACATTGGCAACTGCAACCACCCATAATTTGTCATTTCATTGGCACATAATAAAACCTCAAATTGGAGAGAGGCAAAAACTAACTATTTATAAAGAAAGAAAGCAACTCTAATTTTTCATCTAAAATGATGAAAATAGAAACAAAAAGCAACTCCAACTACCCATAATTTGCCATTTCCTCAGTACATAATAAAATCTCAAAAGAAAATGCATCTATCAAGCTAAGTTCATAAGTCTTAAAATTATAAGCTAGGAGATACAAACATGCCTTTCAATTTCTTTGCCCATCATTTTCTTCATTGCTTTCATTATGTTGAGGCAAAAGTTGATGGCTTGAATGTGAAGAGGAAAGATTATTTGGGAAGATACCTTGCCCACTATTGTTGATTCAATGTACTCCAAGAGAGGCGGTGAATTGGAGTTGAAAATTTTCACCTCTTTGCAACCACCAAACTAAAATCAAAGAGAGAGTAGGGAAGAAGAGCTTGCACAATGATTTTATAGAGGTTTGGTCCAACCACTTGGAATCTAGTACTCTACCTTGGCTTCACTCACCAAGGATTTCCCCCACACTCTCCACTAACAAAATCAAGGGTGGCTACAAGGAGCCACTCAATCCTTTTACAAGAAGGGTGTTTTTCTCAAATGTCACCCCTTTACAAGATAAACCCCAAGAATCCTCTCTATAGATCACTCTTGAAGGATTAATCACACCCTCAAGATCACTTACAAATAGAACAAGAAGAGAATTATAAGTAAAGATCTCTCAAAGATCAAAAACTCAAGTTAAAGCTCATATAGGTAGGTAAAGATATTCAATGCAATGCTCTTTAAACTTCCTTCAGATCTTCTACCAACCATATTTATAACCCCATGGTAAAAAATAGCTGTTACTAGTCATTGGGGGTCATTTAATGCTTTGCAGGATGCAAGGTTCAAGTTGCAAAACTATTAGTACAGCCAGCTTAAGCTTCTAGAGCTGGCTCTGCACAATCGGCTTACCATTCATGCAGTTGACTTTGTGTGATCTTGCACATTCTGTTTTCTTCGTAGAGCCGGCTGCAACACGTAAAGCCAACTTTGCGAGTTTGCTGCGCAATCTGTTTTATGGATAACAGGCTGCAAAAATGTAAAGCTAGCTTTGGTATTCCGACTTTAAAAATATTAATTATTCTTCAAATAAGTCGACCGTTGTACATTATGTTGTAGCTATGATTTTGATGATTACAAAACACATTTGAGTGACTAATTGGTTCATTTAAGTGTGTAGTTAAAATATCAAAAGATTGTAAAGTAAGTAAACTTGGACTGCACTAAAAATAGACCAAAAGGCTTGAAAATGTGCAAAGAACCTGTTGTTGAAACTTGCAGCCGGCTCTGGAAGCTGCAGCTGGCTCTACGGGTAAAAACTTAAAAGTCAGTTGTTTGGCACGCGTGGAGAAAAAATGCAAAGCAGGCTCCAACTTTGCATGGGTGCATTTAATGCACAATGGTCAATTTATTTGAAGATTATTTAATGTGTTTAAAGTTGGAATCTCAAAACTGGCTCTAGGCTTTGCAACCGGCTGTGTAAGAAAACAGAATGTGCAGGAAACCCACAAAGCCGGCTGCAAAATTTTTAAGCTTGCTCTACAGGGAAAACAGAATGCAGGAAACCCGCAAAGCTGGCTACAAAAAAGTTAAGGCAACTGTACAGAACCAACTCTAAAAGCTTAAGCCGGTTGTCCTGACAATCCTGCAACTCGAGCTTTGCATCCTGCAGAGCATTAAATGACCCCCAACGGCTAGTAACGGCTATTTTCGACCATGGGGTTATAAATATGGTTGGTAGAAGATCTGAAGTAAGTTTAGAAAGCATTGCATTGAATATCTTTACCTACCTACATAAGCTTTA